GCTGACCTTAAGGTTCGCAGCCCGATTCGTAACCACTACGCTACCAGAGCTCCTACCTTTAACATCTTGGCTGTTGTAAATGATGCTACTCAAAGTTGATGATCTATGGCCCTTTCTTTGTATGTCACTGGATAATTCACCTGAACTTTCTCCTGTCTCACTAATTGATCTCCTTGTAGATGAGGTAGTTGGTCTAGAAATCATATGTGAAGGTAAAGTTTCCTCTTCCTGTAACTCTTGCACAGATCCTTTTGATCACTCCTATGTTCAACTTGACTCAACTATTTTCACTCATAGATGTACCAGAATCCAATGGTTCCTGTTGACTGACTACTATCAAGTTTGTGTAGATCATTGCATAAATTTTCCTGCAGTCTTTCACAGAGAAGCTTGGCTCACCAAACACTTCTCCTAGCAGATCATTTGAACAATACACCATATGTTGTTGCTTCTCATCATATAATCGCTTAGCCGTAATATATTGGCCAAGATAAACTATAACCTCTTTCACAGTATAAACATCTTTTTGCACACCAGCAGACTTTAACAACTTCAAAAGCAATGGCTTTGGTCTAAACAGGGTCATTCGTTCGGAAGCAGGAATCTGTGAGGTGCTTGCAGCAGCAGCACCCTCGGTAGAAGACACAGACATGTTGGTATAGTACATTTGTCCGGATCTGTCTAGATGCAGGAGCTGCTTGTGCGGCTGCGATCAGCAATGAATGCAGCTGCGGAAAGCCTGCCTCCATTTTTGGATGTGTCTCTTGTACACAAAATATTGAAGGATCCTATTTGATCTATTCTAATACTCTCTGTCTCTTGACTATGCATTTAATCCATTTATCTCCAGTGTAATTACTGATAAATATGAATTGTCATTTTACTGTATGTTTTTGTGGTGCTGTTGGTTTCTTTGTTCCACATAATTTTCTGTGCAGAGTTCATTTTATTTGTGGGTTTTCATTTTCATTTCTGTTGTGTTAACGTTTACTAAATCTTTCTGATTTTCCTCCTTATATTTTTATGTGAAGGTGTACTGATTTTCTCTGAGGTTACACTGTAATTTATTAAATTTCCCCCCATTTAAAACAGTCTGTTTTATCTTGAAATATACTTGACTTCTTTGCCATTTGGAAGTTCTATATTTACATTATAAATTCTTTTTGTTTTGTAGTTGACTTCATTATAAATTTGTATCTCTGCTTTCCTATTTTCAGTCATATAGGAATTGTTTTAATTTAAATGTTTCTATATCTGGATTGATATAGAAGCCATTGTGTTTTCAATAACCTCATATGCATGTGAAAGCTGGACAGTGAATAAAGAAGAATGTAGAAGAATTGATGCATTTGAGTTATGGTGTTGGAAGAGAATATTGAAAGTACCAAGTACTGCCAAAAGAACAAATAGATCCATGTTGGAAGAAATACAGCCAGAGTGCTCCTTGGAAGCCAGGATGGCCAGACTTTGTCTCTCATACTTCGGACATATTGTCAGGAGGGACTAGTCACTAGAGAAGGATATCATGTTTGGTAGGGTGGAGGGTCAGAGAAAAAGAGGAAGACCCTCAACGAGATGGATTGGCAAAGTGGCAGCATCAATGGGCTCAAATGTAGCAACGATTGTGAGGTTGGCCCAAGATCAGCCACTTTTATTCTGTTGTGCATAGGGTCGCTATGAGTTGGTACCGACTTGATGGCACCTCACAACAATATATCTGGATTGAGTTCTGGGTAGTGGCATCATGTCTATTAATCTCTATGTCTATTAATCATTATGTCTATTAATTGTTGTCTACTGTTGTTGGTTCTCCATCCAAAGAACCACACTTATTGTGTTCTTTTGGCGGAGTTGGTCTGGTTATGAAAAATTCCTTTAATTTCTGTTTTCTGAAAATGTCCTAATTTTGCTGTCGTATTTGAAAGGTAGCTTTTCTGGGTATATGATTTGTGTTTAGAAAGTTGTTTCTTTCGGAGTTTTGTATATGCTATCCCATTGCCTTCTTGCCTGCATGGTTTTTGCTGAGAAATCAGAGCTTAGTCTTATTAGCTCTCCTTTGTAGGTAACTTTTAGTTTTCCAAAGCTGCTCTCAGGATTCTTTCTTTGTCTTTGAATTTGGAAAGTTGGACTCTGATATGTCTTGGTGATTTTCTTTTGGGATCGATCTGTTTCAATAGATTAATATCATCAGCCAAACCAAGGCCATCAATTGCTCATATGCAAGTTCAGGTTGAAGCTGAAGAAAATTAAAACAAGTACCCCAGAGCCAAAATATGAACGTGAACATGTTCCATCTGAATTTAGAGACCATCTCAATAACATTATTTGATGCCTTAGACGCTAATGATCGAAGACCAGAGGAGTTGTGGGATGACATCAAGAACATCATACAGGAAGAAAGCAAAACATCATTAAAAAGAAAGGAAAGATGGAAAAGACCAAAACAGATGTCAGAAGAGAATCTGAAACTTGCTTTCTGGTGTAGAGATGCTAAAGCAAATGGAAGAAATGTGGAGATAAAAGAACTGAGCAGAATATTTCAAAAGGCAGCTTGAAAAGACAGTCAAGTAGTATAATTAAATGTGCAAAGACTTGGAGTTAGAAAACCAAAAGGGAAGAACATGCTCAGCATTTCTCAAGATGAAAGGAGTTAAGAACAAATTTGTACCTTGACTTACAATATTGAAGGACTCTATGGCTAAAATATTGAAAAGTTTAAAAAGCACTGAAAGAAGATGGAAGGAATACACAGAGTCACTGTACCAAAAACAAATGGTCAATGTTTAATCATTTCAAGAGGTAGCATATGATCAAGAACCAATGATACTGAAGGAAGAAGTCCAAGCTGCACTGAAGGTATTGGTAAAAAATAAGTCTCCAGGAATTGACAGAATACAAATTGAAATGTTTCAACAAACTAATGAAGCATTGGAGGCACTCATTTCATCTATGCCAAGAAATTTACAATACAACTTCCTGGCCAACTGCTTGGAAGAGATCCATATTTGTGCCCATGCCAAAGAGAGGTGACCCAAAGAAATGCAAAAGTCATCAGACAATATTATTAATATCACATACATGCAAACTTTTGCTGAAGATAATTAAAAAAATGGCTGCAACAGTACATCAACAGAGAGCTGCCAGAAATTCAAGCCATATGCAGAAGAGAACATGGAACAAAGGATGTCATTGCTGACATCAGATGAATCTTCACTGAAAGCAGAGTATACTAAAAAGACTGGTACTTGTGCTTTATTGACTATGCAAGGGCTTTTAACTGAGTGGATCATAACGAGCAAAGGATGCCATTGTGAAGCATGGGTATTCCAGAATACTTAATTGTGCTCATGAGGAACCTGTACATAGATTAAGAGGCAGACATTAAGATAGAACAAGGGGATACTTAATGGTTTAAAATCAGGAAAGGTCTATACCCGGCTTGTATCCTTTCACCTGTATGGTGAACAAATAATCCAAGAAGCTGGATTATATGAAGAAATCAGGATTGAAGTAAGTGGCATCAGGATTGAAGGTCGACTCATTAACAACTTGTGATATGCAGACAATAAAACTTTGCTTGCTGAAAGTGAAGAGGACTTAAAATACAGACTGATGAAGATCAAAGACTACTGCCTTCAGTATGAGTTGTGCTTCAATGTAAAGAAAACAAAAATCTTACAACTGGACCAATAAATAACATCATGATTAATGGAGAAAATATTGAAGTTGTCAAAGACTTCATTTTGCTTGAATTCATAATCAACACTCATGGAAGCAGCAGTCAAGTAATCAAACAATGTATTGCATTAGGCAAATCAGCTGCACAAGACCTCTTTAAAGTGTTCAAGACATCAGTTTGAGGACTAAGATGCACCTGACCCTAGTCATGGTATTTTCAGTAGTTTTACATGCATGTAAAAGTTGGACAATGAATAAGGAAGACCACAGAGAATCGATGCATTTGAATTACGGAGCTGGAGAAGAACACTGAAAGTACCATGGACTGCCAGATGAACAAACCAATCTGTATTGGAAGAAGTACAGCCAGAATGTTCCACAGAAGTCAGTTCTTCATCTCTCATACTTTAGACATATTATCAGGAGGGACTGGTCCTTGGAGAAAGACATCTGGCTTGGTAAAGTAGAAGATTCAGTGAAAAATAGGAGACCCTTCTTCCATAATGAGATGAACTGGCACAGTGATGGTAGCAATGGGCTCAAGTGTAACAAGAATTATAAGGCTGACCCAGGACTTGGCAGTGTTTTGCTGTGTTGTGCATGGCGTTGCTATGAGTTGGAACCAACTTAATGGTACCTAAAAACAACAGCAATTCTGTTTAGGGTTCATTCAGTTTCTTGTATAACTTTTCTTCCATCCTCATAAATTTACTAATTCTTTTCCTTTTACTGCATACACATATGTCATTCTTATTTGATTTTAGAATACATAAGACATGCCCATATCTACTTTTTAACAGACATTATCACTTACTATATTTGTGTAGTACTTTCCAGTTTTTCAAAGAATTTTCATCCATATTATTTCCCACAATAATATCCTGACAATAATATCCCTGTAAGATAGCCAGGGAGTCCTGATGTAGCACTGTGGGTTAATGCGCTGGACTGCAAAGTCAGTTTGAATAATAAGATTGGTGGTTCAAGTTCACCAGCTTCTCCTTGGAAACCCTATACAGGGTCACTATGGGTTAGAACTCACTCGATGGCACTTAAAACAACAAGATAGCCAGGGCAAGTATTGTTCATATTTTATATAAACAGGAAGGCAAGCTCAGAGAGGCTAATAGAACTTGCTCAAGTTGAAACAAGGCATTAGATCTTGCAAACTTTAAAATATTTTATTACAGTGGTTCTCACTTTCTTAGGTTGATAGGTGAAGTGTTACTACAAAGCTATTATGATTTTCTTGATAAAGCTGTGAAAATGGACCAATCCAAAGGGCAAGTACTGTCTACATTTCACATCTGATTGGATTGCCTCCATCCTAAGTCAGCAATCTAATGACGTGGGTAAGAAGGACATGATTAGGAAACACTAAAGCATTATATTACTCCAACAAAGGTCATCTTTCACACCTCTCCTAGTAAAAAGAAACTTATCAAAAAAGTCACAATACAAAACAAAGCAACCCAACAAAACAAAACCCTAATAGTGTATGTTATCAAGTGAAAATTAGATCTCTTCTGTTTCTTCATTGTAGTGAAGAACGTTTTCTGGATGTCTTCCATCTAAAGACCTGATTGTCACATCTGAGGTAGAACTCCAGTACCAGGTTTAGCCCTGGGGAAGCAAAGAGGATGGGGTAGGTGATTTTGGATGGGGTGGGTGATTCAATTAGCTCTTTTCTGCCTCTGAGGCTTTTGACCTGAAGACCTGGCTATGACAGGGCTTCAAGTTTTCAGGAAGGATATAATCTGAGGCACTGCTCGGGAGGTCACGTTCCTGGAAGAATGATGGGAAGGCTATGACATTTCTAATGTTTGCAGCTCCAGTGACAAGGCATAGCAGTCTGTCAAACCCTAAGCGATTCTTTCATGAGGGGGTGCACACCATGATCTAAAGCTTGGAACTTAGATGGGAGAACAATTTCACATCTTTAGTAATATTGCCAGGATGTAAGGCTGTTGCTCTGCATTGTGAATTTGG